CTTGGTTAGGTTTATTCCTGTGTATTTTATTCTTTTGATGGAGTTGTAATTGTAGTTTTCCTTATTTCTCTTTCTGCTAATTTCTTCTTAGTATATAGGAATGCAACAGATTTCTGCATACTAATTTTGTATTTTGCATCTTTGCCGAATCCAGTTATTAGTTCTGATAGCCTTTTTTATGGAGTTTTTAGCATTTTCTCTGTATACAAATATGTCATCTGCAAACAGTGACAGTTTAACATTTTCTTTACCCTGGCTAGGACCTGCAGTACTATGTTGAATGGAAGTGGTGAGAGTGGGCATTCTTGCCTAGTTCCCAGTCTTAGAAGAAAAGCTTTCAGCTTTTTGCTGTTAAGTGTGATGTTGGCTCTGAGTTTTTCATATATGGCCTTTGTTATGTTGAGGTACTTGTCCTCTATATCCTTTTTGTTGAGACTTTTTATAATGAATGGATGTTGACTTTGTCTAATGCTTTTTCAGCATGTATTGAAATATCATGTGATTTTTGTCCTTTTTGTTGATGTGATGATGTATGATGTTGATTGATTTTAAAATGTTGTACCATCCTTGCATCCCTGGAATAAATCTGACTTGGATGATGTTCTTGATGTATTTCTGAATTCGGTTAACTATTATTTTGTTGAGTATTTTTGCATATGTGTTCATTAGGGTTATTGGTCTGTAATTTTCCTTCTTTTGTGGTGTCTTTGCCTGATTTTGGTATTAGAGTGATTATGGATAGAATGAGTTTGGAAGTATGCCCTCCTCTTCTACTTTTTGGAAAACTTTAAGGAGAATGGGTATTAGGTGTTCATTAAATGTTTGATAAAGTTCAGCGATGAAGCCATCTGGGCCAGGGTTTTGTTCTTAGGTAGTTTTTTGATTACCAGTTGAATTTCATTGCTCATTTTTGGTCTGTTTAGATTTTCTGTTTTTTCCTGGTCAGTTTTGGAAGGTTGTATTTTTCTAGAAAGTTGTCCCTGTCTTCTAGGATATCCAATTTGTTGGCCAACTTAAGTGTTTTTAATTGAGGAAATTTGAACTATGACTAGATAGTATGAAGTTTTGTTCATTTTTAAGGAGTGATAATTGTATTTTTGCCTACTTCAAGAGCCCTTTTTAAAGAGACACTAATATTTATAAATCTAAGGCATGAGCAGGACAAATTTGGGATGCTGGTTACATTCTGGGTGGCAAGCATTTGGAGTGGAGACAGAGCATGGGTAGTTTCCATTGTCTTGTTCTATTTATTTGGTAGGTGGTTTCAAAGATGTTTTATGCTATATAACAAAAACACATCATTGTGCATCAAATTCAGTATTTTAAACAATTATTTAATATGACATAGTGGGGATATCATGGATAAAATCCAGAATGAGTAATTGTATAGGATTTACGACCTAGACCACCAAATAAGTGGTATGAAAACAGGGTGAATCTTGTATCAGTAGGCCTAACAGACATCAGCTCTGCACAGGTGTGCATCTTGTTGGTATCTTGATGTGAACAAACCAACTGTAAAATGTTGTTATTAGGCGATTGAAAATAAATAGTCATATTGATATTAAGGAATTTTTGTTAGTCACTCTTAGGAGCAATAATTGTTTTGTAGTTGTTTTTAAAGTAAAATATCATAATTTTTTTAGCTGTTGATGTACTTCAGCATGACAGGCCATGTAAGTGGTCCTGTTTATTTTTGCTCACACCTGTACCAGTAAGATGGCATGGTCATAGTTGATAACTGAAGTTGGGAAGAGCACATGGAGGTTGGTTTTACTAGTTTTTCTAGTTTGGTGTCAATTTGAAAATTTCTATAAAATGAACTTAAATGAGTTCCACTGATTACTAAAGATCCTTAAGATGTACTTTGCAGTCTGCATAAGCTTCTTTGTTGGCTCTTTATCCTGTACTTAAACTTGTTTTAAAAAATGACTGGTATTGAATTTTAATCATAACTAATATTCCAAGCATAGTAAGCATTAAAGGTTTTTATCTGTTAGCCTGTGAAGTTAGACTTTACCCCGTATTTCCCTGTGTGTGGGGAAACCCTTAAATTCTATGTGAGGAACTTTAAACAACTTTGACACAATCTATATCACAAGTGATTTAAATTAGTATTTTTCTGGTTTTTTCCAAAGTTAAGTGCAGCAGTTTTTCTCACATCCCTTAAAAACTGAAAGGATGTCATTGGAAATGTTAGTAGTAGTTTCTGTAAGCAGCTTTTAATTTAATTGTCAGTTGAGTGCTTCTAAGTTGCTGAGCACTGTTCCAGGCTCTGAATGCAAAAGTGAATGAGACAGTCTAATTATAATTACTCCCTGCTCATATGGAGTGTGTATCCTATTTTGGTGTTTTTCAGGAGGAGGCAAAACACCACCTTACTTTGCACATAGTTAAATCCAACTTTAATGATTTTGTAATCATTTGGTAGAAACAAATATCAATCTGTTTTCTTGACTTTTAAGTATTTAGCATCAGACCTAATTGTGACCTAATTCTAAAAGCTTGAATGGGAGTTAGGTCAGTGAATCAGGTGATAGTGTTTTAATTGTGTGCAACCAACATGATAAATACAGCTGAGTGGGATAGATTTTTCTCAAGTACTTTTCAAGTCAAAAGTTTGTGTTTATGTGCTGGGTGATTAGAATTCATGCCTTTCCCTGGGTCTCATTGTTGATCCTTTTGACTCTTGTACTGGTAAGAGTGGAGCACGGAGTTAGGAGCCAGACGGGAAGCTGCAGTGTGAGGTCAGTTTACACTGGGAAGAACAATTGTAGATGTCAAAACACTAGCTGTATGAAAATAATCCTGATAGTTAATCTAAAATGAAACTTGAGAGAATCAGATAATGAAAACGAGCCAACCATTTATGGAAAAAATTTATTGTGGAATAACTTCCGGTTAGTACGTGGGGGTGTTGGATGTGTTGGGCAAACATGACTAATAGATGACTTCTAATGTAGAAATGATGGTGTTCTATTTAAAGAATTTCTTGGGAGCCCTGTGTAGTAGTATTTGTTTTTGTAATATGAATTATCACCTGTTAGTTGACCTGAACTCTATATGTACTTTTACATGTGTACTTTGGGAAAAATTTTCAGTAATATGCCTGGAAAAATGAGTACAGTTAGGATGAATTCTTAGTTTCTTAACACTGTGTAGCTAATTCCTACTGTGTCAAATGCTTGATTACAACAAATTAGTACTTGCATATGTGTAGTAATAATCCTTACTTCCTTGGTTACCCAGGGCAAATAATTACATGATGTGAGTGACTTTTCTGCTAGCTAGAGCAATACATATACATAACAGTTTTGAAATCTATATATTAGAAATCTTTTTATTAGGGTTTTTTTTAAGGGTTTTATAGAAAGTGTAAAGCTACAAAAGCAGACATATAGTATGCATCCTGCAGCTTTAACCATTATTAACACATGAATTATTTTGAAATAAATCCCAGTCTAGTGTTTCATGTGTAAATTCTGAGACTAGGTAGTGTTTGAAAATTTTGTTTCTTAAATTGACATTCTTATACCATTTCTTTGGTATATTGTCCCTGAAAATTGTGCTTTGTGTTTTATTGTCTCATAAAAATAATGTAAAAATGCTTCTTTCTTCCTCCTGTGTTTTATTATTACAAACAGGATGTACCTGAGTTTGGTTAATCTACATGTTCTTTAGAGTTCCCTAAGGGATAGGCAGTATCTGTGGCATTTGTTCTTGTGTTTTCGGGAAAGTGGAAAATACAGAAGTCTAGGCTATGAATCCAGTCTAAGCTGCTGTTTTTCTGTGGTACTTCAAAATAAGTATTATTTGACCTGGAAACAGGGAAATTAACTATAGTTCTAATTCTAGATGTGAAGTAATTTGATTAGCTCACTTGAGATGTCAGCCCAGCTGCTAGTCTTCCTTCCTCCCTCCCGTCCTTCCCTCACTCCCCCTTTTCAGTAGCTAGTTAACTCTAAATTCTTTTCCCTTCCAAGGAGGTGATTGGTGTGTGGCATCCATAGCACAATCTCACATAATAAATGTCCCTTCCTTACTTCCTCCCTCCTTCTCTACTAGCCCTCCCTCCCTTTGACAGTGTTGAAGAAGAGGGAAATGTATACATTGTAATAGGTATTATCATATATAATAGATATATTATATATATAATATGTTTATGTTTATATCTGTGAGCATTTGAATTAAGGTGAGGAATTTTTAATGTTTTCTGTACTTTGGTATTCTTTGGCAGCCTGAAATGTATGGCTCTCTTAGGATGCTTTTAAATCCATAAAATACATAGGCTTATAAAGGAAATCAATTATTTTGAAAGACAGCAAAATGTTAAAACTCATAGTAATGTGTACTTCTTAATAAGTAACAAGTTCTAGCAGTACATCTAAATTTCACAGTGATAAGTGTAGATAATGTTTAAGGATCTGCAACAAGTTACTGTGATTTGAAAATACCTGATTTATATTGATGTCAAAAATAAAAATGGGGTGATTCTTCTGTGGTTTAATGGTGACATTTATAATTGAATGGGGTGCTAAATTTTGGTTAGTGGTTAGTGAAAGTAAACAGGTGATTTCCCCATCCCCCATCCAAGGTCCCTGAATGCTACCCAGGAAACCCCATGGCTGTGATCACAGATGAGAAACATCTGCATGGGGGCTTTATGTCCTCCCATGCTTAATTTAAAGCGAAAACCTTTAAACTTAGGATATAGTCATCAGATGAAATGATTTTCAAACATTATATCTGCCAATTTTAGTGGCTTTTGTAATAAGCCATAACAAACCAATGATGCTGGATCTCCAAATGATCTCAAAATGCACCCTGGGGTTAACTTCGGCTCCTTTTTCCTTCTTGGGTTGCATTTTCTTATTAGCTATTGGTTTTTTGTTAATGTAAAATTGATATTCTGAGTAGTTTCTAAACATACATGTTGACTATTAATGTCTTTTGCTTTTATATATTTTTTCTTTTAAAAAAACATTTTAATTCTTCTGCAGGATTCGGAAACTTCAGATACGAAATATTCCGCCTCACTTACAGTGGGAGGTAAGAATTTCTATATTTAAAATTAAGATTTCAGTATCTAAACCTAAAAAAAGTTTTTTCCCAAGGTTTTTCTCCTTCCTCCAACTCTTGGTTTTGCTAGAACACAAAATCCTTCTCTCTTTTATGGTCTGTGTCTTGCTGCAGGCTTTTCTTTGTAAAAGCACACTATGTCTTTTAAAAATCTGCTCTTTGGATACTTAAAAAAAAAAAGTTGAAATAGAGTCTCAGATAACTGTGTGATCTTCTCATTCGGTCTCATCTCAACAAAACATTGCCGAGATCTTTCTCTGGTTGAATTTGCCAGTTGTATTTAAATATGAAGTTCCCTCCTTGGCAAGTTTTAAATGACAAATACCGGCTACTTATGCTTTATTTAAAAATGTTACTCTGCTTTCTTTTGCTCAGATGGTGGCACTGTAGTGACTTTTTAAAAACACAAACTAGCGCCGTTGAATAGCCTACATCAGCAATTTCCAAAGCACACCAATGTCATGGTGAGAATTTGGTTGAAGAGAGAAAAGACAATGTTGACCTTCAGATAATGGAACCTGAAAGTTCTTAAAACCTGCTTTGGAGAGGTGGTGTGAGGGATAACTGCTCAGCTTTTATGTATTTCTAATATAAAAATCAAGAGTAACCAGCTCTGTGTGTTTTGCATTAGTCTTCTAAAATGACACCAGAACCTCCATCAAAATGCAAAGTATGGTTAAAATGTTTCTTTGGTGGTGAGTTGAGGTAAGTTGATCAGAGGTCTGATTCTCCAAGGTCCCAGTTGATAACAAATCATTTAATCTCAGAATATTTTACATAGTATTTCTTTTCAGATTATTTAGTTTAATCTTTGCAGGAGGAGTTGGTTCTTTGGTATGTGCTGAGTGTTTTCTAAGTTATATAATGTATGTACAGTATACTTTCATAGATGGAAATAGTGACTTACAAGATTAAACTCAATGCATTTTCCCTGTTTTAGATTGACATTTGTTTAGGGAATTCAGTAGCTTGGAGGATGGGTCCTTCAATCAGGTGTTATGGTATCAAAATTACTGGTTTGATCCCCTTATTTTAACATGGGCTGTGTTAAATATTTTCTGTCTGGGAACTGTAGCTAGTGTAATGTAGCTTCCAATGAAATAAGTCAAATGATAACAGCCAATTTTAAGTAAGTGAATTAATAGGATATAGCATATCAGCTGCAGGTGAGTGGCTGTTTCATTTAATTTATAGTATCTCTTCAAATTTAGATTATAGTGGGTTCTCAAGCATTTAGTCTGTTATATTTTGGGTGACTTCTTGAGCTTTTGGAGTATTTCATTCTTCCTCTTTCTGGATAAAATTTAACTCACGAGAATAAATTTTTATCTGCCATGTCTAACTTCTTAACTTTTATATCTCAGTTTACCTTCCCCCCTAGTCCCCATAGTCCTTTGAGGTAAGATGAAGTTAATGAGGTTATGTTCACTTCAGATGGGTAAATAAGGCATGCAGGATTCAAAGAATTAAGCAAGAACACATACTGAACTGTAAAATGCTTAGAACTAAATGTTGAAACTCTTCACCTTTAAAAATGTTTAATGATTATTTCAAATACTGAAGAACAGAAACACTGAGGGTTTGTCAGGAGCAGGATGAGCTATTGGGATGTTTCTTTTCCTTGAATACTTGAATGAACACCATCTGTTACTTCCTTTTTTAGAGGAATCACTTTTATTTGTATACACTTAGTGAACTGGCTGTCTTGTGCAGAAGCCTTATCATAGACAGTGATAATTTTGCACTTTAATGTCCAGACTCTTTTTATAATAGAGGGATTAGAGTTTGAGTACATCCGTTAGTCTTAGATTCACTGAAAGTGGAATGGCCAGACATTATGTCCCTCGTGATTTGATGAAATAGGAAATATATAGCAACCCAACTGACATATTGTCTATAAAATAGGGATTTGACAGGATTCAGTTTCCATCCAACTTTGAATTTAAAAGAAGTAATGGAAGACAGAGGCATAACTTAAATGATGCTGTATTTCTATACTCCCTGCTCATATGGAGTGTGTATCCTATTTTGGTGTTTTTCAGGAGGAGGCAAAACACCACCTTACTTTGCACATAGTTAAATCCAACTTTAATGATTTTGTAATCATTTGGTAGAAACAAATATCAATCTATTTTCTTGACTTTTAAGTATTTAGCATCAGACCTAATTGTGACCTAATTCTAAAAGCTTGAATGGGAGTTAGGTCAGTGAATCAGGTGATAGTGTTTTAATTGTGTGCAACCAACATGATAAATACAGCTGAGTGGGATAGATTTTTCTCAAGTACTTTTCAAGTCAAAAGTTTGTGTTTATGTGCTGGGTGATTAGAATTCATGCCTTTCCCTGGGTCTCATTGTTGATCCTTTTGACTCTTGTACTGGTAAGAGTGGAGCACGGAGTTAGGAGCCAGACGGGAAGCTGCAGTGTGAGGTCAGTTTACACTGGGAAGAACAATTGTAGATGTCAAAACACTAGCTGTATGAAAATAATCCTGATAGTTAATCTAAAATGAAACTTGAGAGAATCAGATAATGAAAACGAGCCAACCATTTATGGAAAAAATTTATTGTGGAATAACTTCCGGTTAGTACGTGGGGGTGTTGGATGTGTTGGGCAAACATGACTAATAGATGACTTCTAATGTAGAAATGATGGTGTTCTATTTAAAGAATTTCTTGGGAGCCCTGTGTAGTAGTATTTGTTTTTGTAATATGAATTATCACCTGTTAGTTGACCTGAACTCTATATGTACTTTTACATGTGTACTTTGGGAAAAATTTTCAGTAATATGCCTGGAAAAATGAGTACAGTTAGGATGAATTCTTAGTTTCTTAACACTGTGTAGCTAATTCCTACTGTGTCAAATGCTTGATTACAACAAATTAGTACTTGCATATGTGTAGTAATAATCCTTACTTCCTTGGTTACCCAGGGCAAATAATTACATGATGTGAGTGACTTTTCTGCTAGCTAGAGCAATACATATACATAACAGTTTTGAAATCTATATATTAGAAATCTTTTTATTAGGGTTTTTTTTAAGGGTTTTATAGAAAGTGTAAAGCTACAAAAGCAGACATATAGTATGCATCCTGCAGCTTTAACCATTATTAGCACATGAATTATTTTGAAATAAATCCCAGTCTAGTGTTTCATGTGTAAATTCTGAGACTAGGTAGTGTTTGAAAATTTTGTTTCTTAAATTGACATTCTTATACCATTTCTTTGGTATATTGTCCCTGAAAATTGTGCTTTGTGTTTTATTGTCTCATAAAAATAATGTAAAAATGCTTCTTTCTTCCTCCTGTGTTTTATTATTACAAACAGGATGTACCTGAGTTTGGTTAATCTACATGTTCTTTAGAGTTCCCTAAGGGATAGGCAGTATCTGTGGCATTTGTTCTTGTGTTTTCGGGAAAGTGGAAAATACAGAAGTCTAGGCTATGAATCCAGTCTAAGCTGCTGTTTTTCTGTGGTACTTCAAAATAAGTATTATTTGACCTGGAAACAGGGAAATTAACTATAGTTCTAATTCTAGATGTGAAGTAATTTGATTAGCTCACTTGAGATGTCAGCCCAGCTGCTAGTCTTCCTTCCTCCCTCCCGTCCTTCCCTCACTCCCCCTTTTCAGTAGCTAGTTAACTCTAAATTCTTTTCCCTTCCAAGGAGGTGATTGGTGTGTGGCATCCATAGCACAATCTCACATAATAAATGTCCCTTCCTTACTTCCTCCCTCCTTCTCTACTAGCCCTCCCTCCCTTTGACAGTGTTGAAGAAGAGGGAAATGTATACATTGTAATAGGTATTATCATATATAATAGATATATTATATATATAATATGTTTATGTTTATATCTGTGAGCATTTGAATTAAGGTGAGGAATTTTTAATGTTTTCTGTACTTTGGTATTCTTTGGCAGCCTGAAATGTATGGCTCTCTTAGGATGCTTTTAAATCCATAAAATACATAGGCTTATAAAGGAAATCAATTATTTTGAAAGACAGCAAAATGTTAAAACTCATAGTAATGTGTACTTCTTAATAAGTAACAAGTTCTAGCAGTACATCTAAATTTCACAGTGATAAGTGTAGATAATGTTTAAGGATCTGCAACAAGTTACTGTGATTTGAAAATACCTGATTTATATTGATGTCAAAAATAAAAATGGGGTGATTCTTCTGTGGTTTAATGGTGACATTTATAATTGAATGGGGTGCTAAATTTTGGTTAGTGGTTAGTGAAAGTAAACAGGTGATTTCCCCATCCCCCATCCAAGGTCCCTGAATGCTACCCAGGAAACCCCATGGCTGTGATCACAGATGAGAAACATCTGCATGGGGGCTTTATGTCCTCCCATGCTTAATTTAAAGCGAAAACCTTTAAACTTAGGATATAGTCATCAGATGAAATGATTTTCAAACATTATATCTGCCAATTTTAGTGGCTTTTGTAATAAGCCATAACAAACCAATGATGCTGGATCTCCAAATGATCTCAAAATGCACCCTGGGGTTAACTTCGGCTCCTTTTTCCTTCTTGGGTTGCATTTTCTTATTAGCTATTGGTTTTTTGTTAATGTAAAATTGATATTCTGAGTAGTTTCTAAACATACATGTTGACTATTAATGTCTTTTGCTTTTATATATTTTTTCTTTTAAAAAAACATTTTAATTCTTCTGCAGGATTCGGAAACTTCAGATACGAAATATTCCGCCTCACTTACAGTGGGAGGTAAGAATTTCTATATTTAAAATTAAGATTTCAGTATCTAAACCTAAAAAAAGTTTTTTCCCAAGGTTTTTCTCCTTCCTCCAACTCTTGGTTTTGCTAGAACACAAAATCCTTCTCTCTTTTATGGTCTGTGTCTTGCTGCAGGCTTTTCTTTGTAAAAGCACACTATGTCTTTTAAAAATCTGCTCTTTGGATACTTAAAAAAAAAAAGTTGAAATAGAGTCTCAGATAACTGTGT